CCTGCCTTGCAAGTGTGAGGCCCTGAGTTCAAACCCCAGTGCCACCAAAAGAATTTTTAAAAAAAATTAATGAAATACAGTAAGCTTTCTGTATCCCACAGGTCTGCACCCCTGGGTTCAATCAAGCATGGGTTGCAAAGGTGTTTGAACCTACGATGGTCACGACTGTACTGCACATGTAGACTTTTTCCTTGTCAGTATTCCTGAAAATTTAAAAGGCCTATTTGCATAGTATTCATGCACTAGGTATTGTAAGTCATCTGGAGATGACTTAAAGTTACTGAAGGAATGTGTGTAGGTTACATGCAAATATCACAGCATTTTATGTAAAGAACTGGAGCATCCAAGGATTTGGGTATCTGCAGGAGTCCTGCAACCAGTATTTGGGAATATTGAGAGATGACTTTTAGTAGATCTAGAAAAAGGCCATCAATGCCTAATAAAACATAAAAAAAATCTGATAAAGAACTTTTATGAAGATGGGTTAGAAGCTGCGTGTGGTGGGGCATGCCTGTAATCCCACTACTCAGGAGACTGAGGCAGGAGGATTGAGAATTTGAGGTCAGCCTGGGCTACATAGTGCAATCCTGTCTAAAAACAAACAAACAAATTAATTAACTAAAAATAAAGAGGTCAGGGCTGGACAGCTCAGTGGTAGAGAGCTGTCTAACTCCTTGAGGGTGGTCTCAATTTTTTCTCCCTCAATTTTTTAAAAGATTTTTTTAAATTATCTCTCATTTTCTGTAGTTTTAACACAATGCATTTAGGTGTAGAATTATTATTTATTCTGACAGGACATCTATAAACTTTTGTCTTTCATCATTTAAAATATTCTCAATTGAAGGGTGCCGGTATCTCACATCTGTAATCCTAGCTACTCATGAGGCAGAGATCAGGAGGATCGTGGTTCAAAACCAACCCAGGGAAATAGTTCATGAGACCCTATCTTGAAAAAAAAACCCTTCACAAAAAAGGGCTGGGGGAGCGGCTCAAGGTGTAGGCCCTGAGTTCAAACCCCGGTACCGCAAAAAAAAAAAAAAAAGGTTGTAATAATGTTTGTTGCTTACGATGTTATCTTCTTGCAGAGACAATCTCATTTGCCCATTCAAGATCCCTGAATGCAGTAGCAATCCCAAATTGTTTTATTACCATTTTGGGGATTGAGACTCAAAGCTGCACTGTGAGGTGCAGTGTACTTCCAAATTACTATATCTCAACCCAGTGGCCTGTGGGTTTACAAGAGCTGCACACCACACTCTGTTGGCAGGTCCTGACTCCAGCCATTGTCCCCAGAGCACCTGGAGGCTATGTTGCTCATGGTTTTGGCCGCCCTGGTAGAATGGGCAAGTCTCCCCGAGGACAAGTGTGGGAAAGCAGCTCCAGACACTGACCTTAAGTCTCTGCATTTCTGTCTTCTCCTAAACCCTGGCCTAGGACTTCCTCACTGTTGTGTTAATTCTGTGATGCTGTCAAGCCGATTTCTGACCTTTCTGCAGTCAGAGTTTTTATTTTATTTATTTACTGACTTGTTCTTTTGGCAGCACAGGAGTTTGAACTCAGGACCTTATGCTTGCTAGGCAGGCGCTCTACCATTTGAGCCACTCTACCAGCTCCAGAGTTTTTATGAAAGGTAAAAATCGCTCAGCTTTTCCAATTTCTTCCTCAGTTGGTGGGCCATTCATACTGTCATCCCCTTGGGTTGGGCAGAAACAGGGAGGTAGGACTGAGCTCAAAGAAGATAGGCTCTCGGCTCTGTGCCCTTGCCAGAGCTGAGCATGCTTGTTGGGGAGATAGGAGGAGGCTAAAGAGAGGAAGACCATGGAAGGCCAAGAGCACCTGTAGGATGGACTGGCTATGGGGTGGACTGGCTGTGAGGTGGACTAGCTGCAGGGTGAACCTACTGCCCACTGCCTGCCCCACTCCCCCTGAGAGAGCCCTACCCATGTCATTGGTGGTGGTGGTGGGGTCCTAGTTTCTAACCAGCACGAGTATAAGTAAGGACAGTGAAGAACAGAAAACCCCAAATGATACTGGATTGTCCCTCAGTCCAAGAAAAGCCTGGAGGTGGGGTCCCCAACTGGTAGGGTGACCTGAGGATGTCAAGGACCTCTTTCTCCCCTTGCTCCATTATGTTCCACTCAGCCTGTCCCTCCCAGTCCTGAGCTTCAGTTCTACATTCTAGTCAGAAGGAAGGATAATTGCAGAGTGACACCTTTTCCCTTTGGGAACACTTGTCCTAAGTCCCTTATGACACTTATATACCGTTGACCAGACCGAGTCTCATAGTCACACACTTCCAAGGCTCTTTATTCTGGAGCTCAGTTAAAAGTCAGAATTCTAGTCCCAAAAACACCACATTACTATCAACTCAGGCATATGAACAAGTCAGAGCTCAACTGAGCAGATAGCAATTCATGAGTCAGGCAGTGCCAGGGCACAGGGGGCTGACGCTCCACTAAAGGGCCACCAGGGGAAAGCTTTAATAAGAGGCACACAGAAGCAGGACAAAATATTTGATTGGTTAAGTGGAGCAGTAGCCTTGCAATCCTTGGTTAGAGGTTAGTGGATGGTTTCTGATGGGAAGACGCACGTTCCGTCTCTTAGGACATGGTTGCTCTTGCCTAGTAGGGTTTCTGCTTGCTTATGTAAGAACAGGGTGCCAGGACCACCTCAGTATGGTGGCACTCCACCCCAGCATCCTATGTTGGAAAGTACATAGGCAAAGCTGAGCATCCGCTGGCCAAGCTGTCTGTGTGTCTAGGCAAATGGCTGCCTGGCTCAGCCCAGGGTGACCTGTCTCTGATCCCCACCCTCTCTGTGCCCATTGCTAGCCCCTCTACAGACCCTTTGGGAGTATACACACTCTCCTCTATCTCTGGACCAGGGACACAGAATGACCCATTGTGGTCCCTTCCTCCTGCCTCGGGCATTGAGCAGGATGCACCCTGTGGGAAGCCATGGCCTGGTCACCAAGATGAAAGCACTCCCTTGACACCTGGCTGTGTTGGGGTGGGGTTAGGAAGCCAGAGTATCATTCAGGCTAGATCTTTCATGGTCTGTTGGGGCCATGGCACTCAGAGGAGGAAGGCACCCTGCCATAGATGGAAGGCCAGGAAGGTCCTTGCTGAGGGGCACAAAAGGACTATCACTGGTTGGACACCCCGACTCTCCCAGAACTTGTGGGTCTTTCAAGACTTCTGTGGTTGCAATCCCTCTGATTTAAGGGCAGAATTCGCATTTCACTTATTTCAGGTCTTAGGACAGGTTGTTTCCTACCTGGGGTGGCAGGGGAAGAGCAGTGTGAGAACATCCAGACTTGCCTAGTTCAGCCCCTTAGTGATCCTTGACTGGCCACACTGAGCATTGACCTTGGCCATAGCTTGAGGCCTGGTCTCCACTTTCTGATCGAGTTTTCTCCAAAATTCTTCTTGACTAAGTGGGTCTGCGTGGGAAGAGTGGGCACGGCTCCCTGCAGTGCCTCCCCACTACTGGTGCCTGGTCTCAGAGCGCTCTGTTGGGTGGCATGAAGGGGTGTTAGGCCTGCTCCATCCTTCTCAGGTCCCAAGTCACTCTCGGGCTCCAGTGCGAATCTCCAGCAGGGGCCTGGTCTGCCAGAGCTCTGCTGACTCAGCCCAGCTTGGCCCGGAGGGGCACCAGAGGAGGCAGGAGATGAGGAGCCAGTGTCCTAGGTGTGGGTAACCATGGCTCTTGGACCCAAGCCATCAGAAACCAGATTTTCCTGGGCCTGAGGGTGTCTGGGAAGGGGGTGGCCCTGCAAGGGGTGGAGCAAAGGATGTTCAAGTAACCTCCCTCTCCCCTATAGCATACAGTACCTCCAGGACAGTGGCTTCTTGGCAGCACCAGAGTCACCAGGTCAGACGTGAGCATCCTGGGGACGCAGGTGAGAGAGGCAGAATGGGGACTCCAGGGTGGGTTGGCTGGCCTGGGGACAGGTCACGAGAGAATGGGGGTAATGACACAGGATTGGACGTAGAAGGTGCCAAAGGCCAAAGCCTCCTTGGATGGGTGTTTCTCTCCAGACCCCTTCTAGGCCTGGCACCTTAACTGTTCACCCAGAGGGGCGAGGGGCAGCCATGGTAGGCTCTGGGTGTGCAGAAGGAGCACAGGTCTATCCAGCAGTGAGCTGTGATGAGCAGTGGGAGGGGAGGTCTGTGTGAACCTAGAAAATACCTCCAGCCAGGAAGGGAACAGGTTGGGGAGGACTGTGACTAGGTAGAAGGAGTGAGGGGTGGGCAGGAATCTGGCTGGGTGCTCTCCAGGTCTGATTACTACCAGAGGGGTCCCTCCTTCCAGGGTATCCATTATCTTCCCATCACAGGAGGCACCACCCAAAGCCCTGGGCCCCTCCAGGTTCACTGCAGGGCTCTGACCTCATTACAGGTGGGATCACTGGCAGGGAGGGGACTATTTTGTGTTTTTTCTTTTGAAATAGGATCTCCCACCACGACCATGATTAGCACCTCACTGTCCTCACAACTAGCCTGCAACTTCCACCGTCACTACGGCCACCCCCAAACCACCACCACTAACACTCCCACCATCACCATTACTGTTGCCACCACCTTGCCCCAGAAGAGTCCCCCACCCACATCTGAAGACTGGACAGGACTTTTAACTCTTCCCTCAATAGGTTTCAGGGCCATAAGCTCCCTGGCTGTGGGGCAGGCACATCCCATCCCCATTCTGCAGCCCAATACAACAAGGGCTTTGCTGGAGGCCACTTAGTGATAGGGAAGCTGGGCCTGCACCTGGCTGCAGGGGCAGATCTCTGGAGGACTGTGCTCACAGCTGGGCAAAAATCTTTCTTTTTCTTTGGTGGTCTTTTCTCTTTCTTTGGTGGTCCTGGGAATCACACCCAAGAACTCACGTGAGCTAGGCATTAAGCCACGACCCCAGCCTGACTCGTCCTTTCCTAAAGGGCATCTTTACATTTGCCACCTGACACGGGGGCCTGGGAAGCCTGGGCAGAAGCCTGCAGCATGGACAAGCAATGGTTTCCAACTGCTGGGATTCTCCTGGCTGGTAAGTCAGGGACCCTGTCCTTTCCTACTCACCTAACAGGGAAGGGGAGCACAGTGGCTCCCACATCAGGGCTGTCTTTCCTCATCCTCCTGTGAGTCTGGCCTTAGCCAGCCTGGGGGATGCCAGAGTAGGGTCAGAGCCCCTCAGTCCATCAGGCTTGGGGCTCCCTGAGGCATTCAGGGTCACTGACTTGGTGGAGCCTGGCACAAGGCAGGCCCTGCCCAGGGCTCAGGGTACACCTATAGATAGGTGTGGTATTTGCTCCAGAGGCCCCTCTCCATCTAGGTCCCAAGAAGCATCCTGAGTGCTGAGACTGTGATAGGTTGTGACCCTGTCTGTGATAGGGGATCAACAGTGCTTCCAGCACCTTCAGGCTAGCCTGGGACTCCCAGGTCCTTTGAACAGACCAGTTGAGGGCCCAGGCTCCTGCTCCCACAGAGTTCTTGGGGCCCAGAAGACTTCCCTTGGGGAGGGGCCCTGTTGTGGGGTGGAATTGGGATGTGTTAGAAATAGCTTTAAGGTATTGGTATGATGAGAGAGAGAGAGAGAGAGAGAGAGAGAGAGAGAGAGAGAGAGAGAAAATGAGACAACACAACTCGGAAGTCACTGGGCAAGGTAAAATTTACTTCTGTAGAAGAGTGTGCAACGGACAAAAAGAAGTCTGGGAAGCAAGCACACTGGGTAGAAAGTCTGCTCAGGTTTTATCTCGAACGCAATTCTGTCCCTTGCCTGGATTAGGCAGGTTTCAGGTTCATAGTCTACATGGTTGGCTAATTGGAAAGGGGAAAGGTCAGGGAAAGGGGCTTTGGAGAGAAGTTCAAAAGTTCAGGTAAGCAGTAACTGTCTTAGATTATCAGTTCTAGAACCAGGGCATCTAGCAGAAACAGGAACTTGTCCAGCTAAGAAAAACATCCTTTGTTCTTAATAGAAACTTTTCTTAGAGTAAGCAGAGTCCATGAAGCTTATGGGAAGTGAGTTAGTGAGACTAACATAACATCTGTAACAGCAGTGGTTACTGATTAAATCCTTTCACAGAAAAGACTTAACCTAAGCTGATTTTTACAGATGGGAGGCAGAGAGACAGATTCTTAAGACCCCTCTGTCCTCACAGTGTCCCTTCCAGGGCAGGGGACAGGAGTCCCCCATCTCTGGAGGTCTAGGATCAGAGAGGGACGGTTATCTGTGAGGGTAGCTCAGGGTTGGGCAGCTGAGCTGGGCTGGGATTTGGGTATCCTCAGGCCCCTCAGGGAGGGAGGTGTCAGGAGGGTGAGGTCTGAGCGGCTGGGGCCTCACCTGTTTTGCAGCTTCCTTGGTGCTCTCTGCTTCGGTTCTACCCCTGCCTTCCGCTCAGCAAGGCAGCAGCAAGAAGCCATCACTACCACCTGGCATCCTGAGAGGGACCATCGGTGGCGTCCTTTCCTTGGATGCAGCTAGAGGCCAGGAGGCTCCTGAAGCTGTGCTTTTGAAGTCCCCCTTACAGTCTGCCCCCTTGGGAAGTACTGGGGCCTCGGGCAGGGCCACAACTGCCCCATCCTCCTCAGTGCTGACCAAGTCTATGACCCCCAGACCCCCTGAGCTTCAGCCAGAGTCCCCTGTGGCTGGCCCTGCAGAGGCAGCCTTGGCCCCTGGATCTCTGGAGATGGCAGCCATATTACTATCATCGGCTTCTCCTGTGCGTGGATCTGGGCAGAAGTGTAGCAAGTCCTCTGGGTTGTGTGTGACAGTCCCTGCTCCTGCCTCTGCAACCCTGAAAACTGTCACTCCTAGGCAAACATGGCAGCCAGCTGGAGCCCCCTTTGCCCCCACCTCTCTTGCGTCCATGTCTGGACCTGCCCACTGGTTATGGTATGTCTTGGGCAGGCACCCCTCCAATGCTAGCACCTCCGTATGGTTTGCAATGAGGCCTGGCCACTTTAGGCCAGAGACCTCCACACCTCTGACATTAGCTCCAAGGAGCCTTGGGAGCCCAGACCGACTTCCGTTTGCATCCACAGCTAACATACCCACAGTCACAGAGCCCCTGCCCTCTGAAGCTCCAGGGACATCATGGTTGGACAGGACCTCTGGGGCCCTCATAGTAGACTCAAGGTCATCCACAGATGCTGACACTTCCAGCCCAGGCCCAGGGCCCAGTGGTGCCACTGTGTTGTTGTTGCCCTCAGCAAAGCCACCGCCACAGCTGTCCTCAACCTTCTCCTCCCCACATCCCCCACCACCCATATCTTTGTCATTGTCACTTTCCCCACCACCACCAATATCACCATCCCCAGGACTAACCCCAAATTCCTCTGTCACTCCTGGAGCCAGGGGCCCTCTTAGTCCTGCTATGTCTGCCTTTGCACCCTCAACCGAAGACTTGCCCCTCAACACCTCCAGCTTTGCCCCTGCTCTGCCACTCCTGATGGTCCCACAGCCAGCCACTCTTCAGGGGATGGCCCAGCCTGTCCCTGCCAGCCCAGCCCACACAGCCATCCTCTCCCTCCAACACTCCTCCAGCCTTCCCTTGTCCCCACCTAGTTTTGGCTCCCCCAGGGTCCCTAGGAGTTCTGACCCTACCCAGTCATCTGCCCTGCCTTACCCTGGCCAGGACATCTTTTTCCAGGACTCAGTTTACTCCACCCCAGGACTTGGTCATGTGACACACTCTGTGACCTTCCAGATCATCAGTGAAGCCTTTTCAGCCACTCTCCAGAGCCCAGCGCCCCTGAAGCGCTGGCTGCTGAGTGAGCACATTCGCCACCAGGTAGGGGCACCTGCTCCCCACAAAGGTCCATGGACAAATGTGCCCCCTCCCCACCTTCCTTCTGAGCACACTGGGGCCAGTGATGATGCTCACCGTCCAGGGTGTGGGCTCTCTGGGGCAGCTTACTAGGAGATCTGGGGTTGTCAAGGGAATGTATGAGCACCCCATGTGCTCCCGAGAGAAGGAACCTATGGAGCGAAGAACCTGAAAGTAGAAAACTGAGGAGATCTAGCAGGAAGTGGGGAGTAGATGTGGAGGGAAAAACCTTCCCAACGGGGAGACCTCGTTTCCTGGTCATGAGTAGGATCTCACTGTGTGGCCAGCTTGCTTTTCTCAGCCCAAAACTCCATCAGAGACCCAGGGCCCTGGCAAAGTGAGGCACAATTTCTACCTCAGATCTGGAACTATGGACAGGGGAGGTGCCCTGGCCAGGAAGTGCTGTTTCCTGCCTGTCATCCAGGGGCACCTCTGAGTCTCTGTCCATTGGCTCATTACTTCATTCATTTAGCTCATTCATTTCCTCTTACAACTCCTAGAGTGTGTATTGTACCAGGCACCATGCTAAGTGCTAGAACAACCATGAGCTCCTCCTGCCTTGGGGGAGACGGAAGGAATGATCAAACAAATCCAGTGGACTGTGATCATTATAAACTGTGTGCCAACAGGCTATGCAGATCACCAGGGTGATAGTCCCGAGGAACTTAGGCATTTTAAGCAAGTACTCTACCATTCAGCCACATTCCCAGCCCAGGCTGACCGTGAACTCAAAATCCTGCTGCCTTAGCCTGCTAAGTGCCGAAATTACTGGCTTGCACCACTGCACCTGGCAGAAAGGGGAATTTTAACTGGGGTAGAGAGAAGGTAGTCAGGTGAAGCAGGGAGGAGTTTTCTAGGCAGATGGAACAGTGCATAAGGACCCTGAGGTGGAAGCACGTTGAAGACGCAGAGGGACCCAGGGATGGGGCTTCATGAAGGAGGATGATGGGGGTGGGGGGAGCAGAGATCCAGGTGGCAGGCCAGGCAGCAGCTGTTGGGCTACAAAGCCAAGTATGATTGCACTGGAGAGCAATTTTCAGCAGAGGGAAAGAAAGTGTGGGAAAATTAGGCCTAGCCCTGACAGTGTTAGCACCTTGAGGTCAGCAAAGGGTGACCGCAGTTCTGTGGCTGCTGTGTAGGGAGCAGCTTTGGGCAGGGCCTGGCAGTGTGAGGTGATGACTGCAATGGCCCAGCCAGGGCTGACAGAGGGGGAGAGGACTGTGTAGGAAGGAGTAGGGCCGGCCTCCATGCTTCTGCCTGTCTGTCCTCAGCTCCAGCCCATGTATCAGGAGGCCTTCCCCAACTTCAAGGGCGTTGGTGTCCTGGTGTTTGGGTAAGTGCACCTAGTTCTCGGGGAACCCCTGACCCCAGCTGATCTGTGTTTTTGCAGGGCATTATCCCATCCTACCCAGCCCTGCCTGCTCCCCTATGTCCAGAAGCACCCCTAGGGGCCAGGAAGAGCCCTGGACCAGTGAGCAGAGGCCCATGTCTGGCTCCGTACTGGCTATGCTGTGGGACCTCAGCTGACATTCTGCCTGCTCTATGCCTTGTCACAGCTGCAGGATTTAAACAGTGACATTAAGCATGTCTGATTGCCAGAGGGAAGACAGGGGCAGCAGAAGCCCCAGGCAGCTTGTGAAGGGAACAGGGGCACTGGATGTGTAAATAGATGTGAACAGATGGGTCAGGACTCTGTTTCTGAGCCACAGGGAAAAGAATATGAAGGGGGAAACCCAAGGCCAGATTTGGTAGTGGCCAATAGCTCTGCAATTTAATGAGCTCAGTGGACCAGAAGCCTCTTGGTAACTTCCTCCCAGTGCAGGAGTTTAGTTTTGAACATTCCCAGTGATGGAGAGCTTGCTATCTCTCAGTCCGTGGTCCCAGCTGGTTGGAAAGTTTTCCATTTAATGAACTGAAGTCTCTTTCTATGACTTTCCTGCCCTGGGCCTGAACCGAAGTTTTATCTCCCCACCCCTTGGGGTGGCACAGCACAAAACAAGTGCTCAAGGGAAGAACAAATATTATTCTGCTTGTTTCCAGATCTTTCCCAAAAAGCTCCCTGCAGAGGCCAAGCTACCTTCACAAGACAGGGCCAAAGGGTCCATTCCCATACATTTCAGAAATTCGCCAAACCTATCTCCTCCCTCTCTCCAGAGCCCCTGCTCCTTGTGATGTAGCCGAGGGTATTTTTCTCAGCATTGCCTGAACTAGCATCCTAGGAGCTCATGGCCAGCTGCAGTCTGGCTGGGTAACCCTGCCCCAGGCTCTCTCTGGGTGGGTTTCAGTGTTCCCATGACAGCCAGCTTGTAGGGGTGTCCCAGAAAGCTTGCTTTCACACAGCACCTGCTCTGTGCCCTCCTGGCTGTGTCATTCAGGTCTCACAACAATCCTCTAAGACAGTGCTATCATCCCCATCTTACCAAGGAGGCCATGAGTCCAGGAGGGTCACTTGACCTGCTTTGAGTCCTAGACGGAGGTCCCTTTCTGTTCAGCCAGTGGCTACCCCTGTAGACTTCCCTGCCTCAGGACATTGACTGCTCCACTAGCTGGGCCCACCTTGCCGCACATGGTTCCCAGTAAGGACGTGGTTCTGCCCTTAGACCCGGCTCTGCAACTGTGAATGCCTCTCTTGTGTTCGGGGGCCAGCCTGGCCCCTCTGCCCGCAACATCCTCTGGATTCTGTACCGCAAAGTGAAGGCCTCCAGGTGGATGCTGGGGAGCCTGACCCTGGCTGAGAACAGCCTCGCCTCTGACGGTGAGTCCCATCCCCACTGTCCCCTGCCCCATGCTTCCTCACCTGCTCACAGGGAACATGGGGTAGGCTTCCTGGAAGGGTCTACTTCTCCCTTGACCCTGAAGCAGGTTGCAGCGGGAGAGGGGGCTCCTGGGGCCTCCCAAATGCCCACCTGTGGCTCTGCAGGGTCCAGCCTGACCGACCTGGCCCTGGAGACCATCAGAATCTGCTTCACATCCATGAGACCCTTCCTGCCCCAGACCTTCCTACCTGGTTCTGAGCCCTTTGTCTTACTGGAAAAGCAGATCCTTCAGTTGGTGAGGTGGCCTTCCGCCTGCTTCTGGGGTCTGAAATGCTCACCCTGCCTCCCTTGACAGCAGGCCTCCGTGGTACCCGTGGAGGTGGCACCAGCTTGACAACATGGGGGATCACATGGTCTGGCCATTACCAAACACCCCCGGTTAGGAGGCTATTCAAGGGAGGCTCTCGGGTCCTGCCTCACCTAGTCCCAAGCCTGCCCCTGCACCACTCTGGGTCTTGGGAGAGGCAGTCCCTGGACCCCCCTGACCTCCAGGACTCCCTGCAGGTCACACCTCTGGTGTCAGAATTCTATAAGATGCATCCCCAAGAAGGACCCCTGATTCTCTTCAGGTGGGTTGTCATATGCCCCTCCATCCCACCCAGCCTGCTCAGTTTCTCTTGGGGGAAGAAGGTGACAGCTCTGGCCCTGAGCCAGAGACAGGATAGACAGGAGGAATAGGTTTGGGGACCACCTGGGGGAGGACTTCATCCCAGATACTCCAGCTGGAGCTCTGCCCTGGAAGGTAGGGAGCCCCTATACACCTGTGGGAAATGCCTACTTCTAGAAGCATATGGTGGCAAAGAGCCTATGACCTCTGTGCTGTCCTGTCCCCTAGCAATGTGAACCAGTGGGTGAGTGTTTACATGGAATACAAATTCCACAACCCCATCCCTACCCACCTCCGAGGCCTGGCTGACTACCTGGCTCACAGCATTAGGGAGTCCACCCTCCAGAAATCCAGCATCACGGCCAACGGTAAGTCAGTCTGGGACAGTGGGTCAGCAGCGTCTTACCTGTCTGGGCTTCACTGTCCCCTCTAGAGATTGGCCACAGCCACTTTCAACATTAGGGCTCATGCGCTGAGGCCAAGGGGGAAAGCTAGGCTCAACTCACTAAGATGGAGTCCAAGTCAACTGTCCCTTCATCCTCAGCAAAGTGGCAAGGAAGCCTCAGGCTTGTGCCATCTAGAAAGACAGGGTTCAGCAACCAAACTAGAACCACTCAGACTCCTGCAGCCACAGCCTAGAGTTGCTCTGGAGGCCCCTCGGTATGGAAAGTACACGTCTATGTTAGAGCCAAGCCCAGCTGCCTCCCCACACCCGCAGCCTCCTCCAGCTCTGCCCTTGTGCTGTTACTGCTCCATCTTCCAGGTACCTACGGCCCCAGAGTGCAGCAGGGCTGGAAACACCGTATCTTCTGCTCCCTGGGGCACCTGCCCTTGTGCATCTCCAATCCCAGGGGCCCACAACACACGTTAGCCAATAGTGGAGCCTTCACTCACCCTCAGCTAGGACTGTGTTGTGTATCTACAAGCCCCTGTCCCGACCCCTCCAGGGGAGGACAGCAGCTTACACTTCTCCCACCAGAGCAGGGATAGGAAAAGAAAAAACCCTAACAGCTGAGGTTACATGATCACCAAGCTCTCCGTCTGTCCTGCTGTTGATTCTGAGTAAGTAGGGCAGGTGTCATTATTCCATCAGATAGGTTAGGACGGGGCCGGCCAAACCCCAGATATAAAGGGCCAGGCAGGAAATATTTTCTGCTCTGTGCGTCATCAAGGTCCTCCCTTGTAGGGAGAACGATAGGTCAACAAGTGAGCCTGGCTAGGTGCTAGTAAAACTTGGACATGGAAATATGTGAACCTCATAACTTTAATATCATGACATAGTCTACGTGTGACCTGGCATGGTGGTGCCTGGCTGTGATCACAGCTACTCGGGAGGCAGAGGTAGAAGGATCACAGTTCAAGGCTGGTCCAGGGCAAAAACAAGAGACACTGTCTGAAAATCAAAGAATGTAAGGACTGGGGTCATGACTCAAGTGGCAGAGCAAGTGCAAGGCCCTGAATTCAATCCCCAGTAATGCCAAAAATATAAAAGAATTCTACTTTTTACTCAGTAGGCTGAGGCAGGAGGATCACAAGTTTAAGTCCCGCCTGGGATACTTAATAAGACTCTACTCTTAAAAATGTAAAAGCCAGCTGGGCACTGGTGACTCATGTCTGTAATCCTAATTACTCAGGAGGATCACAGTTCGAAGCTAGCCCAGGCAAATAGTTCGCAAGACCCTATCTTGAAAAAACCCATCACAAAGTGGGATAGTGAAGTGGCTCAAGGTGAAGGCCCTGAGTTCAAGCTCCAGTACCGCACACACATACACAAAAAAGTAGTAAAAGCCATTCTTAGCTCATGGGCCACGCAAAAGCAGGCAGCCAGGGAACAGGCCTTTGGACAGAGTTTGCTGACCACTGGATGGGAGCAGTGGGGCTTGGGTGTGAGCCCCGTTCCTGGGTTCTCTGGGCAACAGGACCCCTGGCTGATGTTACTACCACGGCTCTAGGGGAGAAGGCTGACCTGGCGCTGTACGAGATGTGGCTCCTGATACCAGGTCAACCCTTCACCAAGGCCTTGGAGGACAAAACCAGCCCTGATTTCCAGGAGCATCAGCAGCAGCTGACAACATTGGTGAAGGGGGAGAGAGAGGGGTTCAGGGGGTGAGGTTGGGCTAGGCTGAGGCACAGCTGTGACCTTTTTCCTCCTCTCCTGACCCCAGCTGACCATGGTCCTCAGGCCTCTGCAGAATTTTGCCCAAGTGGTGGTGGAGGAGGTCTGGTAAGTCCTTGGCTCTGGGTGGTGGGCAGGAGGCAGGAAGAGATGACATCTCCATGTGCCTCCACATCACCCAGCCCCCTAAAGCCTGTGATGGTCCTTCTCCCAGGCCGGAACCACTGACCGCCAAAGTGGGTGCCACCTTCTTTGGGGCCATGCCAGCAAAGGCCCTCATTCAGGAACGTGTGCGCCAGGCGTTGTCCTTTCTGCGGGAGGCTGAGGGCCTCTGGGTAGAGATGTTCATCCCAGAACTCAGTCAGTGCCTCTCCCTCCTGCCCTTGGCATGCTTCCTTCCAATGCCAGTGTCTTCCATCCTTCTGCCGCCTCCTTGGGCTCACTGCCTTCCCTCCCTTCGTCCTGCACACAGCCCCCCATGGCCCAGGCCTGCTCTGCCTCTTCCCCCTGCCTCCTCCTGGGAGTCTGCAGGCTAGGCCTCATCTGATAAGGCCACGGGTTACATGGGAACCCACTGTTGCCACAGCCTTCCTGCTCTCTTCTTGCTCTCCAGGTACCCCTAGCTCCTCAGCTTCTAGTCAGCCTGGCGCCCATGTCCCCAGCTACGCGTTTCTCAACTTGAACCTCCTGCTTGCCACGCTCATCCTTGTCCTGGTGAGTGTCCAGCTAGGCAGGAATTCCTTCCTGGGAGCAGTCTAAGCCTTTGAGTCAAACATAGGGTCAGGTGCCTGCTGTCCACCTAAATGTGGGATTTATAGCCAGGGCCCTGTAACCTCACCCTTCTTGTCCCAGGTGCTGAAGTAGCAGGCCTCCTCTGGAGTGTCCAGCCTGGGGGACCAAAGCTCTACCACAGGAGTGGTGGCACACTGTAAGGTATGGAGGCCCCTCCCCAGTCAGGCAATTGGTGGCCCTGAGGAGATGGTGTTGGGAGTGGGGGGGGGGTTCCCTGCAGGCCCTAGATGAGGCTCCAACTCGGTCTTCCCTTTGTCTCTTGTCTGCTCTTTCCTCTGTTCCCAAGAGCTGGGTGGGACTAAGAAGATGGTGGTGGGGTGCATTCAGTCATTCCTGACTCCTGGCTTTTGATTCTTTTCTCTATCTCCAGGTACCCTCATGTGCTGCTCCTCCCTTTACTAAAATCTGAACTCCATGCCTCTGCCCTCTCCTTGCCCAGGGCTTCCACAGACAGTGCCTGAACCCCAAGGAGTGAGGCCACAGCCCCAGCACCTCTGCCTTGTGCCAGGAGCCCAGAGCAGAAAGGGCAAGGCATCAGCCCAGGTGGCACAGCAAGGAGCCTTCTTCCCAACGACTGGACTCTCAGGCTCCCCTCCCCAACCTGCCCCCACAATGCATAAAGTTGGGGAAAACACACGCTGCTGTTTTCGTGTCTATGCCAGTCGGGCCATCCCCAGATGGCCTTTCCTCCTTTCCAAGAGCTTGTTCAGAGATGAGGCCAAGGCCCAGAGCCTCCCTGCAGGGCAAACAGCTAGAGCAGTGTGGGCAGAGTGGCTCAAATGGTAGAGTGACTACCTAGCAAGCATGAGGCCCTGAGTTCAAATCCCAGTCCCACCCAGAGGGGGGGGAAAAAAAAAAGGAGGACTGACTTTCATGGCTAGTTAACCCTAGACTAGAGGGCTCACTCAGAGGATGGTGGCTGAGAGGAGGACAGGCTGCCACACAGTGACTCCGAGGCAATGAGGTGTAGGATCTGCCAGAGAGCACGGGAGGCTTCCGGGCAAGCAACCCTGGCAGAAGGTCTTGGATCTATGCTGACCCAGGGACCACTAACCAGCTGTGAGGGGGAGGGCAGGTTGGAGCCCGGGGAGGAAAAGGCTTTTAACCCAGAAAGCTCCCAGGCACATTGGTGGAGTGAGGTGGTGGTTATGGGGCTTTGAACACATGAGCCTTGCCCCAAAGTTCCCCTACCTACAGGAGAGCTGGCAGGCCCAAAGAAGGGACCCAGGGGCTCAGAGCATGGACTCACTTGGCCAGAGATGGGGGCCAGCACCAAGACACCGAACAGGGTGGGCAGAACGATCAAGGCATCAGGTTGTTATAGCCGTTGGGGCCTTCTGTAGAACAGGGAAGCCTCTCACAGCCCTGAAGGGCCCCTTCGCCCATCTCAACACCTGGGAGACCTGGAAATACGCCACCCTACTCTCCTGATCACATGCCTCCCCAGGAGGGAGCATTGTGTTCTCTCCAGCCGCTCTCACAGGAGCTTGGGCAGACCCTCCCTTTGTCAGGCTGTGGGTTCCAGGCCCTCCACAAACCAGGCTGGCTCAAGCCTCATACAGCTGAAGCCTTGTACACAAATGGGGTTCAAACATATCCACTGAACACGGTAGGCTTCTGGAAGTGGCACACACCCCAGGCCTAAGAACCCATGGGGCAGCGTGGCCTGTGCCAGTGTGGTACATTTCTACATGTAACACATAAGGAGAGAGGGTACACTTGGAAAGAGGGGCTGCAGGACAGCACAGGGGCCTGGCCTGAGGGCAGAGCTTGCCAGCTCCCCATACAGATGGGTGACTCTTTCCTGGAAATGGAATGGGGTATTCAGGATGCACCTCCACGGCCCTCCAGCAGTGTCACACAGCTTATCATGGCAACCCTGGAACAGAGCAGCCTCTTTCTCCAGCTGAATAAGTAGAGGTACAGAGAAACCAAGGCTCACACCCAGGCCCTGGGCCTCAGCTCCAGGCCAGGTGCAGTGCCGCCCCAGGGCTCTTCTGGTCCCTCCTCTAGGATGGTTCCAATGAACTCTGAGCACTCGTCATACCCATGACAGAGACCAATTCTCCATGTCCTACTGCTGGGAAAGGGAGGCAAGGCACAGAGAGAGGACTTGCCCAAGGCCAAAGTGACAGGGTGAGACCCCAAACCCTGTCTGACTCCAAAGCTACATTCACAGCCACCACACCACATGACAGGGGTGTTCCTAGGTTCTGACCCCCAAAAGTGGGATTTTGCTTCTTCCTCCTCTAGCCGTGGGTCAGAGCATGCAGCCCCTCCTTTGGAGAGGCCCCGGTCCAGGGTCCTTGAGGGGCAGGAGGCCAGGAGTGCACTGTGAAGCTTATACTGTGACACCCACTGGAAACCTCAAATCTGCACCTGGCGTTCAGGGTCAAGGCTCAGCCCTGTTGCACCTGTGGGAGGTGAGACAAGCACAGGGGCACCCCTGCTTCCAGTCTTCCTGGGGAGGAAGGAGGCAGGAGGCAGGTCACTGGCCTGTCTTCCTCCACTCCTCAAGACCCAAGCAGGGACAGCCACCCATAAGGCCAAGGACCAGAGAGAGAACTGAAGGGGTCCATGTAGGCCCCAACAGTGAGCATGACCCCTGACCAGCCCAATCCCAGCCCTAGACATACTGGGCCAGCCACATCTCTAGCAATGGCCAGGAGACGTGATATTCCCCAGTGGCTCTATACACCTCTCATTGAGGACAGTCAAGGAAACACACAAGACAGTCATGGCCAGCAAAGAGCCAGGGAGGCACAGGAGGTCCCAGGCCTGGCCCCTTGAGGACGGCAGACTGGGCAGGAGTGGTTATTTTCACTGACCAGTCACAGTGAGGACACACAAGTCCACCACAGGTTGGCCCAGGGTCATCAGCACCTGAGGACTGTCTGCCCAGGCCTGGCTTTGTCCTCGGGGCTCTACCTGGGACCTGTGGATGCCTAGACCCTGCCCTGAAGTCAGCATGGTTGGAGGGAGGACACTATGACCATATGTGGTCACCTAAGCATGGGGCAGGAGAGTGTCATGCCCAAAAGAGACCTCAAGGGCCAAGAGCTTAAACAAGTGAGACGCCAGTGACATTTGTGCTAGGGAACATCCACCTAAGTCAGATCCTATGCTGACCCTGGGGAGCAACCCAGAGTCTGGGCAAGATGACATTCAGCCTGGGACACCCAGAAAGGCAGGGTCCTGGAGACAAATCTGCCAAGAAGATTGGTCCAAGCCGGGCACCGGTGTCTCACACCTGTAATCCTAGCTACTTAGGAGGATTGCGGTTCAAAGCCAGCCTGGGGAAATAGTCCACGAGACCCTATCTCAAAAAAACCCTTCACTAAAATAGGGTTGGTGGAGTGGCTCAAGGTGAAGGCCCTGAGTTCAAACCTCAGTACCACAAAAAAAAAAAAAGCTCCAAGACAAGAGGATGTACTGCACCCTGGGATCTCATAAGGGGAGAGAGAGGTGTCTGAGAACCTCTAGAGGCAGGCAGCACCCTGCCCAAGAGCAGCTGTGAACTTAGGAACGCCCTGTCTGGCTTAAACCATGCATGCAGTCCTGACCCCATTACTCCTCCATGGGAGAAGGGGGCGTCAGGGAAGGCAGGACTGGGAGACTGCTCCCACCCCAAGTTGGTGCATGTCTTACCAGACACGTAGGTGACATTTTCCACAGCTGCCCGGTAGACCTGGTAGTGCAGAGGGAGAGAAAGCTGCATCTGGGTGAGGAAGAGCCAAGGTCCCACTCTGCCCTACCAGTGTGCTGATCTTGGGCAAGCTGCTTTGTTTGGGCCTGGGGGAGTCACAGACAGGGAAGGGCCAGGTTGAGAAGGCCTACCCTAGAGCTGCCCATGGGGAGGACAGCCCACGGGCCCTGGCATTAGGACCTCCGATCCTCCGATTCTGCTCCCAGGCGAGGCTGCTGGAATGCCATGCTTCCAGACCAGAGTCCATGGGAGGTGGAGGGGTGCACCTGCTCCTTCAAGATGTTCAGTTGGGTTGGGATGGCTTGTATGGTCATTAGGGAGTTGATCGAGGGATCATAAAAGTGGTGGGCAGCTCTTTGTGTCCCAGGGCCAGGCTCCTGCCAGGCCCCCAAGCCAGAAGGGTGTTGGGAAGGACCTTAAGCTAGACTACACGGCCATCTTGAGCCAGGACCTGAGCTCTACATGGCTACGGCAGCTGACACGAGGCAACCTTCCCCCTGACTCTTGGGATATCAATTCTGGCCTAGAAGCCACGTTAGGTAAGCAGGGGGTAATCATGCATACAGCAGGGCCCAAAGGAAGTAGGGCTCTGGCTTGTCCTGGAAGCCCAGTCTGGGCCAGGGATTGTGTGCAGATGGGACAGTTGGGGGCCAGGAGTTACACTGTCTGGTCCCCGTCTAGACCTTTCTATTCCATCTTGAGATACTACATGCACTGGTGCGTTCTGGTTGCCATGGTGCCAAGGAGGTCCAAGTTGGTGGGCAGAACCTGCCCTTGGACATTTATCAGCTTTGCCCCCCAAGACTGACCTCTGGCCACAGTGAGTAAGTATGGCAAGAACCCAACTAGCGGATGGAGGCCAGGGCAGGGGGAGGTCTCCCCAGCCTGGAAGATGCTTGCGATGTAGCGGGGGGATTAGGCTGGACAGGGTCTTCCCAACCCCTTGAAGCCAAGATGACAAACCAGAAAAGATTTCTAGGCAGCTGGACATGGAGGATGGCATGCACCTGGGCTGAGAAAAGGTAGCTAAGAGGGAAGCCTCAGCTTGGTGTCCACTAGACATGACAGCTCTGGTAAGGGCTGTTCTTGACTCTGCCCTTAAGAGCTGGGGTCATGGCAGAACCATTCTAATTAACAGAGCAGGGATAATTGCCTCTCACATGGGCCACAAGAAGATGCAAAGTCTCACAAGCAGGTAGATGGGCTGTACCCTAGAAGGAAAGACCAGGGTCATGTCATGCGTACTTCCTTGAGGAGGGAGGGTGACCAGACAGGAGTCCCAGCCAGCTGCCTTCCACCCACCCCACCCCAGATCTCCTCCTACATAGGTGATGCACACAACGCAGGTGTGGAGAGGGATCCTGGGGCCTGAGGTAGTCAGGCCTGGGGCCCCAGTTATAGTTTGGGTATGAAGCTCCTGGCTTCTGACAAGTGATTGGATCATGCCGGCTCTGACCTAATTAATGGATCAATGCCCTGATGGATTCGTAATTTGATGGCATTATCGGGAAGTGGTGAAAACATTCAGAGGTGAGGCCTAGCTGAGAAAGGAGGCCACTGGGAGCTATATCTTGTTCTGGGTCCCTCTGTGTCACTGTTTCCTGACACCCAGGAGGTGAGCAGCCTCCTCTACCAAATGTTCCTGCTACCATGATGTTCTGCCTCATCACAGGCCCAAAGCAATGGAGCCAGCCATTGGCTCACAATAGACACTGTGAGCCAAAATAAATCTTTGCTCCTTTAAGTTGATTTGCTCAGGTATTTTATCACAGTGATGAAAAATCTAACACAACACACTACCTGGCCATGGTCAGGCCATGCTTGTCCACCCTCTCAAGACATGGTCCCCAATTTGAAGGTACCTTGGTCCCAGGACTGGAGCTGGACCCCCCTGAGAGGAAGGAGACACAGTTGGGCTGGGACACAGACCTCCCAGACATCAGTGGGGCTTGGGGTCTGGCAGCTACGGAGAACACAGAGGGGCCCTAGCTTAAAGAGGGATGGAGCCTGCTTAACCACACCTGCCTCTGGGATGGGGAGCTCCACCTTCTGGTCAGACCTGAGCCAGTCTCTCAAGTTCACAGCCCAAGTTCTGCATACCTAGAAGGTATGCAGAAGTGCTGGGCACTCCTCTCCACTGGCTGTGACTTCAGGACTAGTCTCCATGAGCCTGAGGGAAACTGACTGACGGTCCCAGCAGCCAGGGGAAGAGCTAAGGTCTCAGTGTGGGATGCCAGGTAGAAAACGGCATGCACTGTGCCAGTACCCCAGGCCTGAGCCCCTCTGCCCAGGAGACCTGAGAGACACTCCTGCTACCCAGCTGGGAGCCAGGGCCTGGTGCCGCGGAGCCTCTCAGCTTGAGAGGACAAACCTGGGGTCATTACACCTCTGCCCAATGCCTTGTGTCCAGGCTATAGAAGGGAGAGCCATCAAAAAGAAAGTGACTGTGGGTATGGATCCCCCAGCAGTCAGGGGCCTTTGGGGGATAGAGACCCCCGGGGGTGACAGAGAAGTGGCCTGGGCTGTGCCCACTGAGGTCCATGGCACTAGGCTCCTGAGAAGGCCAGTCCCAAAAGGACTTCTTTGAAAGCCTCAGTGCCTCCTCTAGAAAGAGGGCCCAGCTGAAGGCTCAGAGCCACATCTGAGGGGCAAGCTTTGGGGCCACAGGGAACAAGGCCTTCTGTTGGGACTGAAAGTGAGTCTGGTGCACATGGATGCCATCAGCTATCTCCTCACCAGCCCTGAAGAACCCTGGAAGAGACAAGGCTACCGGGGTATGGGGCCAGCAGTTCCCAGGAAGGGGTCTAAGCCACGTCCCAGCCAAACAGCACTCACAAAATCAGACAGTGTCTCCAAGCTGGCAAGACCTGGAAGGTGCAGGGTTGCCAGAGGCTGGGGGCCTGGGATAGCTACTAGTCTGAAAGGCCACATTGGGCTTAATATCAGACAGATCCGGTGAGGTCTTTTTCTTTAGTACTTCAGTAGCTGGGGACCCTTGCTGCCCACTGGGCTTGCAGTGTTTGTGCGCAGGGGTGGGGAAGACATGGCCTCTGGAAGCTGTGGTCTTGGTGTGTCTACAGGGCCAAGGGGTAACAAACTGAGGTGTGGCAGAAAAGCCTGGGTGAAGCCACCCCAGTTCTCCAACATAGGAGCAGTGCGGACCCTCACGAGAAGGAAGGCAGGGGCCCAGGGGCTGTTGGAGAACCGGGGCCTCCTTGAGCAGGGGCCACCTTCAGGGTCTCTGGCCTGCTTACACAGCTGGCAACCAGGCCTTGCTGAGGGCACTCTGAGAGCAAAAACTGAAGTCCAGTGTTTGTGCTGCAGGGCCCAAACCAACGCTTGTCTCCAGGAGGGGGGCTTGGGCCTGGGAGGTTTATAGGGTTTGAGAAGCAGCCGCCAAGCCTAGTCTTAGGCTCCAAATTATAGGTAGGAGAGGGGCTGGGGCCTACATGGCTCCACCACCCCTGTCGGAGAAAAGGAAGGGCTCTTGGTGTCTTTATTTGACCAGAAGAGAAAGAATCAACAGATCCCCTGCCAGGCAGGTCTTTCCAGGGGGCTTAGCACCCCCTTCCCTGGAGCCTATATTCTCATTCCAAGAAATCCTAGGGACCTGGGTCCCTCCAGCACAGGGATGGAGTGTCCGGATGGAGAGGTACTTCTGAACGCACAGTGGCTCCAACACTTAAGAGTTGGGGTCCCCTTGGAGGCAGCAGTGAGAACCCCCATCTTCCTGCCAGCCTCAGCCAAGCATGGTGGTCCTGTCCAGCCAGGGAGAAGGGACAGGAAGGGCTGCAGCACCTCCCCATCCTGGGGCTATTACCATCTCTGCAACCAGAGGGGACCCTGAAGAGCTATACTGGGGATTCCCTTTAGGGGTATCTGAGGGTTGGAGGCTGAGAGGGCTGTCCAGGAAGGAAGAACTGAACAGAGGACAACAGCTAGCAACAAGGCCCAACAGCCCCCAGCCAGTGCTCCTCAGTAGTCTCCCTCAGCAGGGGCAGCAGGCCAAGCTGGGGTTTGGCCCCTGGGCTCGAGGGACCCCTCCATCTGTAGCAGGGGAGCTGAGGATCAGAAAAGGCACTATCCATTGCGTCAGACCTGAGCCTTGCTCAAAGCCCTTGAAGGACTGAGAGTGGCACAATCATCCAGCCCAACTCCCTGGGCGAGCAAACCAGGGAAGGAGGCACCTGAAGGTTACCAAAGGGACAGGGTCTTGACAACTACCTCCAGACTCTGAGGTGGGACAGAACTGTCCCTCCCACCCTTGGGTCCTCAGCCTGTGGTACTGGGCATTGTGAGTCTGGGCCTCCCCCACACTCGTCTCACCTGAGCTCCATCCTGGCTTTAACTCAAGGCAAGAGATGCTTGTGTTGGCTAGCAAGACTACCTGGGGCAGGTTTGGATTGGGCCAGGAGAGCTGAGCAGAGTGAAGTGCTTCCCTAGCAGCCCCTGAACTGCTCAGAACCGGCTCTGGGTCTTGACACAGACCTGACTTGGTGCAACTCCTCAGCAAGATCCTGGACTTGTTTCCCCATCTGCACCCTGAAGGGAGGAGCAAGTTGGTGGTGTTACTCAAAACCTGGCTCCTGAACACCAGACTGATGGTCACTTGGGAGCTGTAGTAAAACCCTGATTTTAGCCAGACACTGGTGGCTCACGCCTGTCATCCTAGCTACTCAGGAGGCAGAGATCAGGAGGATCATGGTTCAAAGCCAGCCAGGGCAAATAGTTCGTGAGACCCCATCTCAAAAAAAACCTTCACAAAAAAGGGCTGGAGGAGTGGCTCAAGGTGTAGGCCCTGAGTTCAAGCCCCAGTACCACAAAATTAATTATATATAAAACAGATTTCCTGGACTTTGCTTAAGACTTTTTTTTAGGCAGAGCCTCACTACGTAACCCAGGCTGGCCTCAAATTCACAATACTGTCTCAGCCTCCTGAGTGCTGGGATTACAGGCTACCATTCCTGGCTTAGTATTTTTTTAATTTTTGCTGTAATAGGAAACTGAACTCAGGGACTTGCACTTGCTAGCCTAGACCTGTACCATTTGAGTCCTACCCCCAGTCCATAAGATCATTCTTTTTTTTTTTTTTGGTGGCACTGGTGTTTGAACTCAGGGCTTCAAAGCAGGAGCTCTACCACCTGAGCCCTGCCCCCAGTTCATAAGACCATTCTTAACAGGGGTTCAGGGAGGCTTTTTCCAGGTGGTTCTGTTTGAGAAACCTGCCTGGTTGGGCCCAGTCCAGGAGTCTCAAATGACTACAGGGCAACCGGGGAAACCAGAGGGGCACATTGAGCTAAGACAGAGATTTCCTAGGGGCAGGACACACTTAGCTTCCCACACATTCCCTCTGTACCCTCTTAGCCAGCAACAGGTTTTATTAAAAAAAAAAAAAAAAAAAAAAAAAGGAAAGAAAAAAAAAACCTAACAAAAACCCTTGCATGTCAGTGTGAGTCAGGAAGGGGCGCTGCCTCTCTAGCCTCAGCCCTGGACAGGACTCCGGTCCTGCCTGCCACCTCAGCTGGAGCTCTTGGCAGTCATATTCCTCCCTTAGATTACACAGAACTCTGGGTAGCACTAGGCCTGTCCCTTCTGGCTGTAGCTTGGGGATGGGGGTTCCCTGGACAGCGTTGTTTCTTGGAGGACAGCCACCTCCAGCCTAGCCTCTGCACCATCATGGGTCCTCTGAGGCCCTGCCTGCCCTGAGGCCACTCTACCCTGTAGCAACTGGCAAGTGTATGGCTGGCATATGGCAGGGACACAGGTGTGGAGGGGAGGGGAAAAAGGGAAGAGGATGGCAGGGAAGACAAAGGACGGAAGAAGCAGCAGTTAGATCCAGTAAAGCCCAGGCAATGCTGTCAATGCGGGGGAAGAGGTGCCTTTTGGCTGAATGGGGCACCGGGACTCAGTGACTCCAAGTCTGTAACCCAGCTTTCTATAAACCACCTGGCACAGACCGGCTATCCTTCAGACCATGGGTGGGGTTGATGTGACATAACAAGGCCTGGGTTTTGAGCCAGCCCCACCCACTCCCCTTCTTAGAGCTCTACAAACCCCCAGGCCAGTGTAAGCCCTCCCCTCGTTTTCATCTACTTCTTCCCGTCTTCTTCAAGGCCCAGCTCAGCATCTCCTCTTCTGGGACCAAGAATACCTCCCCATCCCCAGGCTGTCATTACAGTGACAAGGAACACACTGTCACATTGACACAGTTGCCCAGTACCTTCACAGGCTATGGTCTGGATATAGTTTGAGTATGTCCCTCGGGTTCATGTGTTGAAATTTAATCCCTATTGTGAGGGTGGAAACAATGTCATCACAGTGTTCGGGGTGGGGCCTTTGAGTGAGATTAGGATTAGAAAAAATCAGGGTGGATCCCTGCCTCTTTCCACGGGCACCCTATGCTGCCTCAAGTCTCTGACAACATGAAAGCCATCACCAGATCTGGCCCCTCAACCTTGAACCTCTAGAACCATGAGCCAAAATAAACCTTTTTGGGCTGGGCATGGCAGCACATGCCTGTAGTCCCAGCACTCAGGAGGCTGAGGCAGAAGGGTTACGTAGTGAAGCCCTGCCAAAAAACAAAACTACAACCCTCTTCCCCACCCTTCCAACAAAATCTTACCCAGTCCATGGTATTGTTAGTGGCAATTTAAAAAAATGGATTACGATACAAGGATATTCCTTGTGGACTGGTATAGGGACAATGGCAGCTGCTACCCCAAATTCTGGTCCAAACTGGCTCAAGACCAGGCTGGCAGAGAGAAGTGTAAACCTACCACGATAGCCCCAGTGAGCCCTGGTGGACTGGGGAAACCTGGTCTAGGAAGCCACCTCAGTGGCCCTGAGCCACCCTCTGACATCTACAGCCCAGCAGGGTAGGCCATCTGGAGGGCAGACCCAGTGGCCCCCTCACCAGCCAAGGTCAAGGGGATACGTGATCACCAGTACAGGGCAGGGTGTCAGTTCTGGCCCATGGTGGGCCCATCTTTGGTCCTGGGAAACAGACAGGCAAATGTAGTGACCAGTATTTTTCACTGGGCTGTAAGACCAACTGTCACTGGGACCGAGACTGGTTGGTTAGACGGTGTGAGGAGGGTCCATAGGCCAGGGCTGGCCAGCACCCCATGACCTTGGAGCCTTCTGGAGTGGGAGCAGCAAGGGCAGCCCATGAGTGAAGGGCGAGGCCCTTCAAGGTGACGAAATGTGAGCTCACAGCCCCAGCTCCAAAAACAATTCGAATTCTTTAATAGCTACTCCCTACCCCCACCCAAGGGCCCAGGCTCCTCACAAACCCTTACATAAGGCCATGGACCCCAGCTTGCCAGCCTCCAGCTCAGTTCCGCATGCTGCAGGGCCCTGGGTCACAGCAAGCCTGGCTGATGAGAGCCTCGAAGAGTACCAGGGTCCCCAGTGCCAATCTCTAGAGACCTCCTGGGACTGAGCTGCCACTCAGCACGTCCCTGTACCTGCTTAGCTTCTAGAGAACATAACTTTTCTGGGGTAATGCCTGGGGTGTGGGAGGGAGCTTGGGGAAGTTACTGATGTCAATTCAGGACACTCTGGGCCTCCCGGGGTGGGGCCATAGGCCCAGAACAAGGACGCCAGCCTCAGACGGTGTCCCCGCACAAGCAGAGAGACTGGGGGAAGTATATGCAGGAGCCACAGACGCTGTACGACGACGTACTGCTTGAAGACAACCAAGTCCTAAGACACACGAAGGTTTTCAAAAAGAAGGTTCTTCTGGCTGAGGGCAAGGGCCTGTCCCAGGCAGGGAGCAGAGACCAAATCTAATGGGTGTGTGTCAGGCAATAATCCCCACAACAACCCTGAGGTAGGCTGTGCTGTCCTATTTTACAAATGGGGAATGAGGGCTCAAGAGAGGTGAAGTGTCTGCCCAGGTCACGCAGTCAGGAACACAGCAGCCAGGACTCAAGGCCAGGTCTGTGGGGTTCCAACGCCCACTGGTTTTCTCTACGGAAGAGGAAGGAGCCCTTTCTAATATTAAAAGCTCAGGGGTTCTCGGCCCATTGGTGGGTCCCAGCCCCAACATCTGTATCCCAAGGGACAGAGTGGCCCCGAGATGGTTGGCTGTCCAAACAGCCCTGAGCCAGTGCTACAGGTGGTGACTCTGGCTGCCCAGGAGCTGGGGCTGGGGTGAGGGCCGGTCAGGTCCGGAGGCTTTGTGGCCCCAAGTGGGCAGTGCCATGCCATTGAGCCAGGCGTTTTCCAGCAAGCTGCGGAAGCGGGCCCGGAGTGTGGGGCCAGGTGGGCTGGCACTGGCAGCAGGGGTAGGTGATGGGCCACGTGACCCTCCCCCAGAGGCCGCCTCTGTTTTCTCTGGGCCAGGGGTTGGTGGCTTCCTCCCTGGCTTCCTGACCTTGGGGGCTGGTGACTTCCGAGCCAGGGCAACACTTTCTGATTCATCTCTGGCCATGGATGGTTCTGAGGGGGACACAGCTCCAGCTTCAGTGTCCAAGTCACCTGGAAAAGAAACATATAGTCAGACTGCAGGCTCCACACCCTCAGGTCCCAGTTTCTGGTCCCTAAAGTCATCCAGAACAGTGGTTCTGCTCTGCCCCAGGCCAGGATGGCACCAGCAGGGTCACAGTTATCATGGCTCTCCCTGACATGGACCTGCTGGCACGTACCTCCCAAGTGTCACCAGGACGCCATCTGATTAGGGCACTGCTTAGAAGGCTGTTTGGGAGCAAGGACAAGAGGAAAGGAGCCCAACAGTTCAAGAACCAGGGCTGGGCCCAATGCCCAACTGAGGCATAGAGAGGGCTCGCCCACATATGGGAGAGCCATTCTCTTTTTTGTCGTCGTCGTTGTACTGGGGTTTGAACTCGGCCTACACCTTAAGTGCAGCCATTTTTTGTGAAGGATTTTTATGAGATAGGGTCTCTTGAACTATTTGCCCAGGCAGGATTCGAACTTCAATCCTCCCAATTTCTGCCTCCTGAGGAGCTAAGATTACAGGCATGAGCCACCAGTGCCTGGCAAACTAATACATGGTGGGTTTTTTTTCCTCTTCTTTTTTGGCAGCACTGGGGTTTGAATGCAGGGCCTTGTGCTTGCTAAGCAGGCACTCATTCTGCCAGCTCAAGAGCCGTCATTTTCCTGCCACACCACCTCCAGAGCCCAGGAAGGGCCTGCCCTGAAAGCAATGCCCAGAGCAAAGGGCCTGGGGGTGGGGAGGTGCTGCTAGGAATGCCTAGGAACCCAGAAGGAACAAGGTCGGAGTAACAACTCTCTAGGGGCACCTGCGGGTCAGGGAGGCAGTGCGACGGAGTCCCCAAATCTAGCCAGTGGCAGGCAGTCAGCTGTCACTTCCTTGCCAGACCCCAACTCCTAAAGGCTGGCATCAGAGCTGGAGTATGGAGCACCCAGCTCCACTGCCTCCAGGGCAGCCCAGGGGACTAGGAGAGATCTGACTGGAAGACTAAGTGACAGATGGTACCCCTCACTTTCACAAGCAGACCACCACTCCCATTTCCTTTCCACCTACTGAGAACTTTTTCCCAACTCTTCAGTGCCCAAGGATTAGGAACACTGGTTAGCCAGCACCCCCAGCTCCATACCCACACTGCCTCAGGCCTTCTCCACCCTGACCATCGAAGGGGAGAGGAAGGCCAGGGTACAGTGGTCAGGTGAGGGTTACAGACCAGAGCAGATTCTTCAGGGAGACAGCCTAGACAGAGGCTGAGTGGGAGGAAAGTGTGGTGACAGGGCGAAGAGACCTCAAAGGGGCTCAGGGCCTGGACGCCAGAGCCCTGAATTGAGAAGTGTGAGAGCCCCCACCATAACACACTTCAGCAGGTCCTTCAGGACATAAAGCCAACTGAGCCAGGTGTGGTGGCTCACACCTATAATCCTAACTATTTGAGATACGGGGATTGGGAGGATCGTAGTTCAAGGCCAGACCAGGCAAAAAAGTTCCAGAGACACCATCTCAACCAATAGAACTGGGCGTGGTAGCTACACGCCTGTCATCCCAGCTAGGTGGGAAGTATAAATGGAAGAATTACAGTCCAGGGAGGCCCCAGTATAAACATGAAACCCTACTGAAAATATATAAATAAAAAGGACTGGGGATGAGGCTCAAGTGCAAGGCCCTGACAGTACCACACAAGTGAATGAATGAATGAATGAATGAGTGAAGCAAGCGGGACAACAGTTGGCACAATGTATCGGTGCTACTCCAATCTCCAACTCACTGTACACTTTTCTGCATTTAAGTGCCAGGAGCCCAAGAAACTATATGATCAAAGGCAAGAGTGCTTGCAGTAGGCGGGAGGACTGGTCCCTGCCAGGTCTTGGGTTCTGGGAGCTGGGTCAACAGGGTTTCCCTTGAGACAGAGGGGAGCCAGGCGCCAATGGCTCACACCTGTAATCTTAGTGACAGGCTGAGATCAGAAGGATCGAGGTTTGAGGACAGCCTGGGCAAATAGTTCACCAGATCCCATCCCCAAAATAACCAGAACAAGCTGGGCACTGGTGGCTCATGCCTATAATCCTAACTACTCAGGAGGCAGCGATCAGGAGGATCTCAGTTCAAAGTCATCCGCAGGCAAACAGTCCGTGAGCACCTATCTCAAAAAACACTATTACAAAAAAGGGCTGGGGGAGTGGCTCAAGCAGTAAGAGCACCTGCCTAGCAAGCGTGCCACCCCCGCACCCCCCAAAAAAGAACAAAATGGACTGGAGGTGTGGCTCAAGCAGTAGAGCACATTTGTGAGCGCAAAGCCATGAGTTCAAACCCAGTCCCACCAAATAAAAAAAAAAGAGGGAGAGGGAACCGTAGGAAGGGCAGCCCCTGCACCAGCTTGAGTTTTTGGAATCATACCGCACACACACCTGTCACTAGCTCACTCACACAGCTCTGGTGGCTACGGGGCCGCCCTAAGCTCACCCAGCTGGCGGCGCACACAGTCATGCCACTGCAGTCCCAGCAGGTCGGGGTAGATGTCGGGCAGTTGGCGCAGCGCCAGCAGCTTCAGCATGCGTGAGGTGCAGCCGTGCAGGGCGCGCTCCCGCAGCGCCCGCTCCTCCGACAGCGTGGTGGGCCGCAGCTCCACTCGGTGCTCCTGCAGCACGTGGTCCACGGAGGCGGGAGGCAGTCGTGGGAAGAGCCGCTCCTTCACCAGGTAGATGGGCACGAAGATGGCACCTGCCCGCACCACATGGGGGAAGGGGCACTGCTGTGTGCACATGAACCTTTGCAGCTGTGAAAGTAGCTTACCCAGCAGCCCTTGCACAGTCTGGCAGTCCTGCCATGCGGCCTGGCCCCAGGGCCCAGTTGTCTCCAGCCACTCACGCAACTTCTCGGGTGGGGAGTGGGCCACGGAGCCTGAGATGGCATCACACAGGGATGCATGCAGCCCTGTGAAGTGCTGCTCTGAGGAGTCTGCTGGGGCTGTGGTTGAAACTGGAACAGGGGCTGGAGCAGGAGCTGGAGCAGGGGCTGGTACAGTGGCTGCAGCTGGTGCAAGGGCGGGAGCAGGTGATGGAGCTGGAGCAGGGGCTGGGGCTGGAGAGGCCACAGCTACAGCTGAAGAGTTAGGCAGGGCCAGGTTGAAGCATGCCACCGGCAAGGGCTGAGTGACAATCTGCAGTCCCAGGGGCATAGATGGAGGGGTGGGTACAGGTTGTGCAGGGGCAGGAGCCAAGGTGGGTGTAGATGGGACTGTGGCTGCAGGTGAGGGTGCTGGACGGATGATCTTAAATTTTCGGAACATGAAGGCCACAGAGCTGTGGAAATTGGTCCTTGGTGTGTCCTCTGTGGCCACTGGCATTGCTGGTGCTTCTGTGACCGTCTCTTTCAGGCCTGACAGACCTGATGCTGTGTTCTCCACATCTGGCACATCCACAGCTGTACTGGGCTTGGCCTGAACTTCTGGGCTTGGGACCTGAATAGGGGTGGCCTCTACCATGGACTTCTTCACACTCAAGTCCAAGGCCACCTCCTCACGAAGAGAGCAGCGAGCCCCTGAGGACCCCTCCTGGACAGGCAGGGTCCCCTTACAATCTTTATCTTGGCGCTCATTAGTGGCTGGGGCTTCGGTCGCCCGCGCATCCATATAGTCACGGTAGGGTGCCAGGCTGAAGACATTATCAATGACAGGCATTGGTGGAGAGCTGGGTGGCCTTGAGCCTGCCTTCTGTGGAAGAGGCTGGCGCTCCTGGACACAGGGGTGCAGTGCTGGTGAGGTGCGGGGAACTGGGCTATCTCGGATGACAATGGGTGCTCCAGGGTGCTCATCGAGCCGGGGCTGAAAGCTGCTCTTTCCTGCAGCTGGGCACCCACGTCTTTTCTTCGGCACCTCGCACAGGTTTCTCAGCAGGCCTCATAGGCTCAGAGGCTGGCTGACTGCCTGGCAAAGGCTGGCATGCCCGCTGGAAGGCACTGGGTTGTGGCACAGGTTGCACACTGTTCTGGGAAGGTGGTGTTCCCCCAAGTCCTGGGGATGCTCCATACAGAGAGAGGTCATCCCGGGCATAAGGAAAACCCAGAGTCTGGGAGGCAAAGTCCAGTGGACACCGTGGAGCAAGAGGGGGCTCCAGCTTGAGGCCTGGTGAGGGTGCTGGGAGTGGGGCAGAGGGGTAGGAATAAGTGTCCAGCCCCATGGGGGGCACATAGGGGGACTGGGCTGCCTGCTGCCTCAGGTAGGGGCTGCCCAGCCCACCAGCCTGGTAGCTGGAGCCCTTGTGGACTCCCAGAGGCTGTAGTGGGAGCGCAGAGGTATAACTGCCTTGCTTCTCTGGGTGGCGACAGGCTGGTGGGCAAGGAATGGCCTGTGGAGGAGGGGGTAATGGGTAGTGGACAGGCACTGTGTCCTGGCAGGGTGGCCCCAGGGGCTGGGCCAGCTGTGTCCAAGGACTGGAAGGCCCCTCCACCATTGCTTGCTTAGGGTCCCCAGAGTAAGGACCTGTGAACTTGGAGCCCAGGAAGCCTGTGCTGTGGATGGTCCGATATTTCTCCAGGAGAGTCTGGCATGTGGAGAAGCCCAGCGAGGAGTCTTTGCCAGACACCGCAGCTGGTACCCCACGCAAAAAGGTGCCATCCAGAGATTGGCCCTTGCCAGGAGCTGGGGCGAGAGAACAGGGTGGATCAGCTGAGGGCAGCAGGGGTCCGGTTACCAGGGTCCAGTCAACATCCAGTGGTCTCTTCACTGCCCCTTCCCCCAGGCAAGCTGAGAGCCCGTAACAGAGAGGGCTGCGGTAGACAGGTTTGGGTGCTGCTAGCCCAGGGGGGGCTGGGTATGCATGAGTCTGGGGACTGAAGGGCAGGACCTCAGTGGAGTCCTGCATCTTCTCAGACCCTTCTGCTGGAGGGCGGTAGAGCAGGCAGTTTGTCAACAGGTTGTCTGTCCGAAGTGGGGATCCTGCCACAGTAGTGGGATACAAGGGTGGGTATGGCGTCCAGGATGCCAACCGTTCAGACCCTGCCTTGGAAGTACCCCCCATGGGGCAGGAAAAGTAGGCACCCTTGTAGCTGCAGGAGTCCTGGTTAACAGCAGAGAGGGGCAAGCTAGGTCCAGGCCCTGAGTCTGCCTCTAGGCGGGGAAGCTTGCCATACATCACAGGCCCCAGGGTTCCCAGGGGCCGCTTCTCCGCCATGGCTATGAAGGTGTCAAGCCCTCCTGTGCTATTCTCCTGCGGACCTGGGAGAGAAAAAGAGAGGCAGGGGAGGTCAGAAGATGGGATGCATGAGAGCAGTGGAGGCTACACCCTGGCTCACAGCCCCTAAGAAGCTGGCACTCAGCTGGTGCTCAGTTCAGAGTAAATGTAAGAGCCAGAAATGTAGAGGCCTGCAGCTCTATTTTTTTATTTTTTTGGCAGGACTGGGGTTTGAATCTAGCTCTGTTTTTTAGGCAGCAGAAGACTTTGTTGAATGAATTCTTGTGCAGCAGCCTCGCCCTCACCCCCAATGTTTCTGTTTAGCTTTCTTTCCTGTGATTGCCAAGACCCCTTCCTTGGGGGTCCAGACTTTGCAGGGCAGCCTGAGGATCACTTGCCTGGGCTTTCCCTGCCCCTCCCATAATACAAATGAGACCTATCCATCCCGAAGTCACTGAGGAAAGAGATGGGACAGGAAGCAAGTCTCCTGCCTCCCCCTACTGTTCCAAGATGGTACCCAGAACTAAGGCATGGAATCTGGGCATTGTTAACATACAAATCAGATTTCCTGTGACACTCTCTTAACCTGCTGGTCTTACTGAGCTTGCCTGGGGAGGGCAGTCCCCCCAGGAGAGGTGGCTGGGCTCTCTCTGTACAAGCCCCACCTCTCCTCAGGAAGAGGATCAAAGCTGTTCGGTAGATGGTGCTGTGGTGCCAGAACACAGGGGAGGAGGGCCTGTGGCCATCCTCAGCCCGCCATCCTCAGCCCTCAAGTGGCTATTCCAAGGCGTGCGTGCGTGCGTGCGTGCGTGCGTGTGTGTGTGTGTGTGTGTGTGTATAGCTGGCAACTACTTCCACTGTACTCTACTGATGGAAAAGCAAGGCCAAGGCCAAGGAAGGATGGGGACTCAGACCCAGAGCAGTCAAGGGTGGGTTTTCTCAACACAGCAGGCACTCAATGACTCATGAAGGGCTCCATTTGAAGCTTGTCTGCTGGCCCACACTGACCCGCCTCTATCTCTCCCAGTGGGCCCTGTTCCCTGAAACTCTCAGTGGCTTAGAAAGGATGAATCAGCTCAATCTTGCTATGATCAGGCCCTAGGCCAAGTGTCGCAGGTTTTTGTCACCAGCAAGCAAGAACCACCCCTTTCCTCCCTCTGGCTCATGGCAGGGGCTCAGAGTTAGACCAGCAAGGGGAAAAGAAAAGCTAAAGGTACCATGGGGCCAGTCAGTGCCCACTCCTACTCCAACCTGTTGGCATCAAGGAAGCCAGGTGGAACTCCAGGTGGGCCCAGGACAAGGCAGAAGAGGACATCAGGACCCAGGCCACAGTCCTACTAGCAGTGCCCTATGACAAGGATCTGCCTTGCAGGGGGAAAGTTCCCATCTGGCTGTGTTGCGAGGTGTGGTTATATGGTTTTGAAGGTGCTGAGCCTCCCCTCACAACCTGCTCTTGGAAGCTCTGCATTAATTAAGAACTGGCTCTGGTCTCACCTTCCCCAGTGTCCCTTGGGGCCTGCTCCATACCCACCCCCAGCCCCAGGAGTCCTTTTCCCCTGGGATCAGCCCAACCCATGCCCTTTGCCCTGGAGACTCCTTGAGACTCCTCTGGACCCAGTCAATAGACATGAGGCCACCTGGGACCCTCAGGAGTCTTTGTGGGAGGAGTGGGGGCTCCAGGGACCCAGCAGAGGGCTCTGAAAGATGTGAAGGTGACCTTACTCTGCTAGTAGGTGATGGAGAGTGGCAATGGAGGCCCCTCCCCACTCAGATGGCAGCCAAAATATAGGTGCCTCCTTCCTGACACAAATCTAGGTGGCATCAGGTGCTTGGAGAGGGTGGAGCGCCAGGCAGTAGGGTCATATTACCTTTGTAGGGGAGGGCAGTTCTATTGGTCCTTTTGGATGAGCTCCAAAGAGCCCACCACCCCTGTGGCAGTGCTGCTGATGCAAGTAGCTCTGCCACCCCTCTGGGCTTCCAGCTCCAAGGGGCCTCAGGAAGAAGACCGAAGATTCCAACCCACTTGGGGCTAGCACTGAACTCTCTTGGAGGGCTTGATCGCCCCGTCCACATTCTCCCACCTCTCACCTCTTCCAGCTGCCGCTCGGGGCTCTCCAGACACCCAACCTGGGGGCAGCCCACAGTTGCGGGGAAGGGAAGAGGGTTGCAGAATGGGCTTCCACCTTCCTTTCGCCTACCTTCCCCACCCAAGACCCTGGAGCCTGGGACCCACCGCCGACTTCACTTTGGGGCTGCCACCGCACTAGACCCCACGGGCTTCCGGGTGTCCCCAAGCCCCTCGCGGCGGCGCTGGGGCGCACGTGCACCCCAGCAGGCTGACACACAGGCCGCCGCCGCCACGCACGCAAACCCGTGCCTGCGCGTACGTGCATGGCTCACATCTGCACACAGAACTGTGCTCTCCCCTAGCTCGGGCCCCGGGCACACGTGTGCAAGCCAGCAGGCCGGCGCACGGAGCCCCACAGACCGACGCCCGCAGACTGGGGGGAGGTCCCGGAGTCGGGGGGTGGGGAAGCAGTCGGGCCACAGAGTCCGGGCAGCCACCGCCTCGGGGCGATCCCGCCAGGCTGGGCAGCGGCCAGAGGGTGAGTCAAGCGGTGGCGAGGAAACCGCAGGCCGTCCCGTCGCAGCAGGGCGCGTCCAGGACCCCACGGCGCCTCACCGCCCGCCGCCACCAGCCCCAGTCCCCCACCGCCCCCTCATCCCCGCCCCGGCAATCCACGTGAGCGAGTCCCTGCGGGAGGCCGGAGGGCTCAGCCTGACTCCCCGCCAGCCCCGCGAGGGACCAAGCGCCGGGAGGACCAAGGCCCTGGGAGCCTCGAAGTCCCGAAAAAGTCGGGGCAGCCGCGCGCCCCAACCCCGCAGCCCGATCGCCGGAAGCCACAGCACCTCGGTCCCGATCCCCGCGCGCTCCATTCCGCGCCGGCCGGTAGGGGCGCCCTGGGGCACAGCCACCCGCCCCTTGTCCACGAGCCGCCCGCAAACTCGGCCCAAGTTTCCGCGCCCGCCGAGCGGGCGAGCGCCCACCTGCAGGGTGCCAGGCTTCTCGCTGTCGCTACCTGGGGCCGCAGCCGCATCCTCTAGCGCCGCCCAGACTGAGGGTTCCTGTCCGGTGGGGCTTGAGCGGGAAGTCGCAACGAGCACCGAGCCCGGAGCCTCCCTCTGAGCGGCCGTTCGCGCCGCCGCTGGGCGCCGTCTGCGGTCCCGGGCGGGGCGGGCTGGGGGCGGGGCGGGGGCGGGGCGGCCAGCGGGGGTGGGGGGGCGGGGGCAGAGCCGGGCGGCGCCTCTGGGAGCCTGCACTCCCCCGGGCCCACGGGTACCGCCGGCCTGCGTGGAGTCCGCCCTCCCGTGACTCAGCCATGAGTGCTGGGCACCGTCCTGTACCCGCCGCGCTCCGCAAACCGTTGCCCCGCGGGCGCTCACGTGCGTTCATTCAGTCATTCCGTTACATCATTCATTCACTGCCACTTTGCAGCCATGTGACCTTGCGCCTGCCCCTTGACCTCGCGGAGCTTCAGTTTCCTCATTTGTAAAACTGGAATTGTCTCCCTCAAAGAGGGGGTGTTGTCAGGCTTGCAAGACGCTGTCTTAAAATATGGCACACAGTAGGCGGCCCTGACTCCCTTGGCCAGTGCCAGCTGCAGCACGGCTCTTGCCAGGCAAATTGCAGACAAACCTAGAGGGCCTCAGCTGTCCCAGAGTGACCTCCCCACCCCCCGCAGTGGACCGGGAATGAAGGTGCTGGCGGGCGGGGTGCTAAGTGATCTCGTGGGTATCTCTGAACCTTTTGGCAAGTGTCCCTCAGAAGAACAGGCCTGAGCACGTGTAGCCTGGGAGGCTGCATCAGGGTGAAGAATCCCCAGCCTGCCAGGAATGGTCTGTTGCACAGAGGGGCTGGAGGGCAAGGTTGGGGGGGGGGTTCTGTCTCTGACCTGACTCTGGCCACCTGTGAGAGGGGAGGACAAGTGGACATGGCAAAGGTCAGAGCAACTTCATGGGGCAAAACCACCCAGGCTACCTCCTGAAAACAAAGGTCAGGACTGCCTGAGTCAGAGAGCAGGGCAGGCCTGAGGCCACAGTTGCCAGGAGTTGTGAAGCAGCTGCAGCAGCTGGCTCTGAGAAGGAGGGACTGGGCTCCAGGTTGGACTAGGAAGAGGAAGTGAGGTCACCTGCGGAGAGGAGAACCTGGTTTAGAGCTGGAAGGACCTTATAAATACATCCTGGAAAGATCTGGGGAGGAGAGACTCAGAGAGGGTTTGGAGCTTTCCCCCAGATAGCCCCTCAAGCCAGGAAATTTTGCAGCCACACCTTAAGCATCAGGAAAGTACATCTGTGCCCTGACAGCTCAGGGTCACTGTAGCCCAACCTGCCACCCACTGGGCATGGGCTGTCCTTCCCTGTTTTGTTCCTCACCACCTCTGCCCTGCCCCCCTCCCTCTTCCCCAGCACAGCACCTGCTCTGGTCCCTGCCCTGCCACAAGAAGTGGGGAGGGAAAAGGGCAGTGCCCTTGGCTCTTGGGGTCTAAGACTCTCAGGTTGTGTACTCAAGTGTGCCTGGTGGTCTCCCCAATCTCTCTGAGCCCAAGTGGGACCCAACCAGGCCAGGATGAACCTGCCAAGACCCTAGGGGTCACAAAGACTGAGTCTAGTCTTAATGTACGAATGCCTCCCCGGACAGCAGCCCTGTCCTTTTCAGCATAACTTAAACATGGTGGACTACCAAAGAAAAGCCACAGGACTTAAGGGCCACTTTGTCACTCTCTGATATCACAAAATGGGAACAGTGAGATACCTGCCTTAGAGACTGCCATGAGTGTCAATACCAACTTGCTTGTAAACTGTGAAAAGCTCTGCAAAGTGCCAGGTGACTGTGACTTCCAGAAGGCTCTGACCTTGCCCTTTTTCTCTCTACCCCAAGGGTCATGTGCAGAACCTACAGCAAATGAAGGCAGTCCTTAACAAGGTGTTACCCATGTTTGCATTAGCGCTGTGGTCTTGGACAGAAGGGGTGTTTTGTCTGGAAGGCACGGTGAGTAGAGCAGGGAAGGGAAGAATGCGTCCTGTGCGCTTCCTGGGTGGAGTTAACAAAAGTATAGTAGAAAATGTCAAAGGAGGTTATACCGTCCCCACCCCAGCTCTGCATAGGTCTCAGGCTGGGCACACACCCTCTTTCATGTGGCCCCAGACGCAAATTACGTCTTCTTTCTCCCAGGGAAGGCAAGGTAAAAGGTCAGCTTTCTGAACCTCAGCTTGTTAGGTTATGGTTATTAAATAATAATGTTCCTCCCACTAATGAGGTCACACCTGCTATTTAGAAATCTCTTTCCTTCTCAAAGGAGCTCCCTCTCACTCCAGACAAGGGAGAGCTGGCACTGACAGTCACCCTTCAGGCAGCAAAACAGAAATATAGAGTCTTGTCCTAAGACACACAGCAATGCCCTCTGTCCTTTCATACTCAGCTATAAAAATTGCATCCTCCAGGGAGGCCCCCCAGACTGCATGTACTGCCCTCTCTTCCTCAGCAGAGGGATATCTCACTGTTAGTGGGTGTAGGGGCAAGGAGCTCCTGCCAGTCACTTAATAGGTATCACCTCATTTAATTCTTACAATCAGATAAATCGAGAGTTTGAAAAACAAGTAAACTAATCAGTGTGTGAGTTGAGGGGGGGAGGGGGACAATGGTTCATGCCTGTAATCTCAGCGTTTGGGAGGCTGAGGCAGGAGGATCATGAGTTCAAGGCCTGCCTGGGCTACATAGTAAGTTCCAGGCCAGCTAGGCTACAAAATGAAACCTTGTCTCAACAGGAAAAAAAAAAAAAAAAAGCTGGATGCCAGGGGCTCACATCTGTAATCCTAGCTATTTGGGAGGCTGAGATCAGGAGGATTGCAGTTTAAGGTCAGCCAGGATAACTAGTTCTCAAGACTGCGGAATAATCAGAGCAAAATGGGCTGGAGGTGTGGCTCAAGCAGTAGAGTACAGGGTTTGCTAGCGCAAAGCCCTGAGTTCAAACCCCAATTCCACCAATTAAAAAAAAAAAAAGGAAGAGAAGGAAAACTGAGTTTGACACTGAGCTCTAAGACTTAAGTAAGCCCTTTAACCTCGGTTCTCACCTCAGCCAAACCGGTGTGATTATGACACGACTCAGGGCTCAATGTCTTCACAAGCTTGGCTCATAGGGAGGACAGAAGGGTACTGTCCACACAGCTAAGAAATGGAGGAGCGGGGATCTTCCCCCTGGGAGCTGTGACTCAAGCCATTCTGAGGGAAGGCTCAGATGCAGTTGGTGACTAGGAACCCTGTGCCACTCAAGCGAGCAGAGCCTGAAGCTGAGCTATGCTGGTGCCATCAAGCTGGGCTCAGAGCCTTCTGAGTCCAACTGCATAGGACTTGCATAGGCAGGGCCAAGGGACCTGATGGGTGAGCCACTTTCCAAAGACTGGGACTTCCTTCCACAGAAGTCAGGAGGCAGTCCCAGTTACTCTCAGCTTAGAGTCTCCTGTGACTCCCAATCTGGGTTCTACCTGTCTCCTAACTGTCCCTTCCCCGCCAGCTGCCACAGCAGCCACCAAAGCCAGCCAAAGTTCCTTGTGGATCACACCACACTATGATATATGAACCTCTCTTGACTGATAGTCCAGCTTTCTTTGCTAATTCCTGCTGGCCTCCTCCAGGAAGCATCCCTGGGTTTGGTCCTCTTGTACTTCCATCCTAGCCAGCTTCCTGGCTGGAATGGCTTAGTTTCCAGCCTGGCCCCCCTTATTGACTGTGGAGGGGCCTCCTCCAGGCACAGGTGTGCCTGAGTGCTGGGATAGCAATACCAGCACAGGGCTGGCTCAGGCCATGGAATCTGTAAGCGAAGAAAGCCAGAAAAACCTACCTGGACCCAGGGGTGAGAGCCCAAGGGAGCCTCTGCTGCCCAAGCTCTCCTAAAACTCTTGTACCCCTTCCCAGCCTCTAAGACTTTGACCTATTGCAACATGGGACAGCAGAGGCCCAGAGAGGCACAGCCACATGCCTGGGTCTCCTGAAGGCCAGCCTCTGCACAGCAGGCCTCCTTCTTCCAACCCTGCCTCTCCTCCCCATCCTCGCACCTCCACCTCCGCAAAGGATGGAAAAACACCTGGATGAACCCTACCTGCTTCATGCTGCATGCAGCTCCCTCTAGAAGGCCCCCAGCCTGGGTGGGGGCCGAGTAGAAGAGGGGGACCCCATGAGGAGGGGAGAGGCTGTGGCCCTTCCCCCTCAGTGTTGTAGGAGCTCTCCCAGCCCCGGGCCTGGCCCCCTGCCAGCCTTCCTAATCACCTCCTTTCCTCCCAGTCCAGGGCCTCTCTCTAGGGATCCCCTCCCCCTGGCCTCAGTGCCGGGGCAGGGCATAGCAGTCACAGCTGTTTCTAGGATGTGGTTTGGGCCTGGGCTGCTGTGCCCATAGCACTGACTCCAGCCCAGAATCCACCTCTTGCTTTGGTTAGGTCTTGGCCTCCAGCAGGAATCACTCCCCATCCCCAACCCCCAGTCCACCCCCAGCTCCCCAGTTCAAAGGTTTGGGGACCACCAACCCAGCTCCTCCCTGCTCTGCCATGTGCCCTCCCCCTGTGCAGTGAGTGCCTCCCCTCCTGCCGAAGGCCGGCCAGGGCACTGTCTTCCGAGGCTTCCTAAGGCTGGCCAGGTGGTTGGACGCTGCCCCTTCATTAACAGCCTGCCTGCTGGGGTTCCGTCACTTAGGGCTGTTACCAGGCAACCGCGTCCAGAGGGCTGTGACTCTGGGCTGGCACAGTGGCAGGCTGCTGCCCAGGAGGAAGGGAGGAGGAGAGCAGCTCAGTGGCCAGGGTCATGGTCAGGAGGCCTCTCTCCTCCTGCTCCTCCGGGGGGTGGGGCAGGGCCTCAGAAGCTCCCTTGTCATAGTCAACTTCAACTAACAGCTCTGTCCCAGAAAAGGGTCTCTGAGCCCTCTGGTTTCCTGGAGGTTGAGTGGGAGCAGAGAGAGAGGGGCACTGTCCCCCTTTTCCATCTGCGGGAAATAGTCCTGTGGCTTTATGGACTGCCACCCTGTGGCCTGAGGTGGCAGACACAAAGAGTCAGGTTTCCCAGCCCACAGGGCTTAGGCACTGAGTCTAAATCCTGCTCTGCTGCTGTGTG